AGTGCTGCTGGAGGAGCTAAAATCAGCTTCACTACCTGAAAAACAAGGGGGGAAAGAGAAGTGTGAAGCGAAGGAAACCTGAGGGCACTCCACCCAGCTCTCTGCCTTGCAAGGCCCCAGGCTCCCCGCGTGTGCACTCTCACGCAGCAAGTGGCAAGACTCCACGGAGAGCTCCTGGGCCCTCAGCGTTTTCCTCAGAGCAGACAAGAGAAGGCGCGAGCACAAGGACATCAGTTTATAAACACAGCTCAGAAGCGCAGTAAGGCTGGTTTCATAAAGATGTCGGTCTTGCCGCAGACGGTCAACAGTGACCCACGGGGGGGCAGACATGTGTGCCCTCCCTATTGTCAGTCACAGGCTCCCTCAACATTGACATGCTGGCCCAAACTTTAAGCAAAACGAAAAGCATACTTGTAAGCCCAAACGAGTTTTTGGTTTTTTTTTTTCCCCAAGAGAATTTATCTTTGGGCTTTTGTAGTCAGCAAGCCATGCCTGAATTTGGCACATTAGGGTCTGGAGATAATCAACCAGTTAGAAGCAGTCAGGAAGAAAGCCTGGGCTCCAGATAACTGCTTCAACCCTGACACTATCTGATTATTGACTTTCTCTGATTGCAGCTGTAGTTTTTCTGTCAGGACAGAACCTTAATGAAGATCAGGAACTGAACATTTCCAAACAGAATGAAAATGTTCACCGGGACAGTGGTGGAACCTCTGAGTTATACTGACATTTGAAATTTTAGGGTTTTTTTGGGGGGCGGGGTGGAGGGATTGTTCATTATTTACAAAGATCACATTATATTTTGACTACAGACTAGAGTTTGGTATGCAATTAGAGACGTGCTGTGTGGTCGAATAATTAATATAAACTCATTTCTAACAAAAAAGCATGTAGGTCTGAAATAGTAATAATGGAACTATCCCTTGGATTGCCTGGGAAAGTGAAGGGAAGTAGAAGAGGCAAGAGAGAAAAAGTGGGAAGAAGAAAGAGAGGACTAAAAAAAACAAAATGAAATTTCCATATGCTTTGGGAAACAAATTTAGGTGTACAGTTTTATTTGACCTTGTCTCTGAGCTCCTCCAACACAATTTCTGACTCCTCTGATCTAGAACCCAGAGCCAGCTCACATTTCTAAGTCGAGGCAAATATGAATAATTTAAATCCCACGCGTTTCTGACAAGCATTGAACAATAATTATCACAATAAAAACTATGTATTGAGTGCCTAGTAGGTTCCAAAGCTCTTGAGATGCTTCCCAGTCTTCATATCTTTTGACAACTTTGTAAGGCAGGCATTAATCTCACTATTGAGGAGACCAAAGCTCATGCGCCTAAACTAAGGCTTGTGGGTGACAAATCCTGCCCAGGATCAAAACCCAGGATCAAAAATGGTGCTACTTCTAAGAACCATGCTGCGTCCTCAGGAAGGTGGTGGGAAAAGCAGGGCCAAAGCGAGGTTCCTGAATAAATATACACCACCGTCTCCCTAACTGACACGATGAGCCCTACATGCAAGTGTACGATATGGCCAGAACGGCCCACGGGTGAACAGATCCTCTCACTGACAGGCTGTATTAGTTTTGCCAGAGCGGGACGGTAAGCCACAGCAAGGCAGAGAGAAAGAAATCCCTTGCGCAGCTTCCAGGACCTCTCAGGACGTTCAGCCTCTTCTAGGAAAGGCATCAAGAATGATGTCCGAGCACAGGTGACAGTAGTGAATTTCAGCTCCCAACAGAATTCTGGGAGGATTAGGGCGGCCATTTATCAGGGCAGGGAAGGGCTATTCCTTTTGGATTTCAGAGACTTTGTCTAACGATATAATGAACTCTAGAAGCTCCCCAAACTTAATTAGTTGCCTCTGAGTAAGGCCCTGGCTAAATTGTAGTTTATGACAGTCTCAGGGATTCATGATTTGTAGCGGTACCCAGGAACGCACTACTCCCGACAGCCTAATTCAACCAGCCTTGTCTGCTGGTAAATGATCAGGTTGGTTATGAAATGATAAAGATGGATGATTTTCAAAAATAGATACTGTGGTTGCAGTCATCGGGTTTAAGATATTATTTTCTAATGTAAAATTATTACTCTGAGACGTCCAATTTTCATCCTTAAAAGATACACACAAAGCCATCAATCGTAATTTAGCGGGCTNATTGTCTTTCTGTCCCTATTAGAATGAATATAATTTTCATGGAGTTTTGTTTACTGCCATATCTCCAAAACCTGTCTCATAGTTGATACTCCAGAAATACTTGTCGAATGACTAAATAAGGCCCCCGAGGGTAGCAGGGAATCCCGGGCAGGGCTTATAACCTGTCGCATCAAATGTGAACTGTGCCTCCTTTTCCTCACAGTCCTTCTCTCCCCCGATCCAAATAGCATCTATGGCGAACCTTCGATGATGCTTACTATGCTCCAAGCACTGACCCCACACTTGACCTGTGGCAACCAATGTAATCCTACCAATAAACTCTACCAGGTGGGTATGAATACAGCCCTATTTTACAGATGAGGCAACTGAGGCATACAGAAGTTAAGCACCTTGCTTAGGGCCACAGGGCCTGATCTGAGGGAACCGGCATGTAAACCAAGGCAACCGGGCTCGGAGCCCGCACACCTAGCTGTGTGCTCTAGTGCCTCTTTCAGGGGTGGCCACTCATGGCTCTGAACGTCATACTTCCTTCACCCTCTTAGTCCCAAGGGAATGTTGGCATGGCTAGGAGGTCACCGTGCTTCTTTCACAAGGATTTAAAAAAAGGAAGCTCAGCTAGAGAAATGAAAGGGGAAGTGGGAGTCTTCACAGCTCAGAGACCGGAGTCCTGAAGGGGAGGTAGGGTGGGAAGCGGGAGACTAGCTTGATACCCAGGTGAGTGCACACGTGAGTGAGGGGAACAGCGAGGGGAGCGGAGGAGGCGTGGACCCAGCGCCAAGGACCAGATGAGAGGGAGCCATGGGTGGACAAACACAGGCCAAGCCAGGTGACCACAATAGGTGAGGCAGGGAAAAGGGCCAACTTCCAATCACTGCTGAAAACAAACAAGCACCACTAACTGGAAAATAATAAACTATGAATGGACAGGAATCCAGGTGGTTCGACAGAAAGATCACGTACAGGTAAGTCACCTGTGCGAAGCATCTTAGCAATTACAGAGCAGGAGACAGTGCCTACTTGCGTGAAAAAGAGGGCCGCTTGCTTCCCGCAGCAGACATGTGGACCTCAGGAGCGGAAATGCTGCCAGTGCTGCTGGAGGAGCTAAAATCAGCTTCACTACCTGAAAAACAAGGGGGGAAAGAGAAGTGTGAAGCGAAGGAAACCTGAGGGCACTCCACCC